GGGTGGCGTGGCAGCCAATGAAGGTATCGAAAAACAATTAGAATTTCAGATAAAATTTGAACCACCAAAAGTGGGTTCTGACTATGCAGCAGGATACGTACATTTTAACCAGTATTACAATAGTGGGTTTGTATCTGCAACAAATGAACATTAAGGCTAAAGAAAAGTTCAAAATCGTAACTAAAGCATCAAAAAATGTGTGTAGGGCTAGCTATTCGATAACGAAGCACACTTTTATCATTAAACTACCTCGCTGGCCGCAATGTGATATGGAAAGAGAAAAAGGCTTATGAAAAAGAAATGGCTGGTAATAGGATTCAGTTAGCCTAAAAACAACATTAGTTTTCCATAAAAGCCTGGTGAAATTCTTGACAGCCTAAATGTTCGTCATATTCTGAAGAAGGGCTCTCTTTGACAGTGTTATTTAATTTAGGCCTATCCACTGACCTAACGAGTTGAACATGATCAAGGTGGAGGGAGGACTCCGTAAGCTAAACCACAGAGTTACGCGTTCAGCGATGTTCTCCTGCGTCTACCGGACTCAGCAGCTGCTGCTGTAATTCGGATGTCTGAATAAACATCGTTGTGAAGTCAGATAAATGAAGTTTGTGACACTCATTCCACTCTCATTCAGCCTTCAAAGTAAATATCCTTTCGTTCTGTCGCGTGTTCATTATTTAATTATTCGGACTAAAGTTTACATCTCGCACCATCGTTCCATTCAAGAAACCGATGACTGAACAAAGTATTATTTTCTGACAGAAACCTAACTGACGAATTTATGGTTCTAGTCGATTCCTTTCATATCTAGAATAAGAAAGGAGAACAAACACGGAAAGCACAGTGTGTCCACTCGTATGTATGAAAATGCTAGATCTATTTCTTAGCAGAACAAAGATTTGAGCGTACATGAACACTCTACAACATTATGCTTTTCCACGGCTTGGGTCACTTACCAGTATCATCTTCAATGTTATACCCCCCACAGCAATTCTAAACATAAACAAGACTACAATTGAAATTTCAGTTAGGCTAAGATTTTGTGTGGCGTTCTGATATTTTAGAGTGCAGAAAGAACCGCTTCTGTTCAAGCCTTATTCTGTACAAAAAGGCAGTCAGTATTCTATAAAAAAGAACAATGCAATGTTAATGATGGTAACCACCTACAAGACTACAAGTGCCACATCACAGTAAAATATAATCCAAATTCTCAATTCCGTAAAAACTACAAATTTTAAAGCAAAATTAACAATCAGTGGTTTAATTGTATAAGCTTCTTCTATGCGACATATAGCGAATTATACTAGCAATTTTATGAAATTTTCAAGTAAGACTCTGCATTGTAAAATTATATTGTTATTTAATTTGTTTTGGAAGAGAGATCATATTCCAATATCAATAAGTATCTCATAAAGAACGTGATTAATTCTTAATGTATTACGTATTTCTGCTGGAAACCGGTAAATTTTCATTATCCTTCATCTCTTTTGTCCTGTTCCTTTCATTAATTTCTCCCCAAACGTATTTCTTTAGGGACTGCATGAGTTTCCTTCACTAGTCGGATTTCCAAATCAATAGAAGTCATTTTTAACTTCTGTTACAAAGATAAGAAGAGATCACTAGCGCGTTCGCTGTCCAGTTAAGAACTGATGGGAAATATTAAACCATTGTTCTCAAAAACGATGTATTTCACACAAACGGATTTTCTGTACCTCATAATATTGATTATACGGTGATGACATTTAACACTACTGTTCATATACCTACACAGGAATAAAATGTTTCCAACTCTGTATAACTTAAATTCTAGAGAGAATGTAAAGAGTAAAATTACCTTTCTTCTTAAATATGCTGGGGAAAGAAACTTAATTTAACTCTCTGCAAAATATCTTCTTCTATATTCTTTTCATTTTTTGAAATGACAAAATATTGTTCCAAGGGAAACCTTCGTAAAGTAAATTCAGACTTGGGTGAAATTTAATTATATGAAAGAAAAAAAAACCCAGTTTGGTTCAAAGTCCACTCCAGGAGAAGAAATATCTGTTGATGACGACCATATATTCCATTCCCAGCTATATGACATTTTAATGACGACAAAGATGAAGCTGTAATTAGAGCAACCCGAGTTCATATAAATCTAGTCAAGCATAATATTACGTTAGACGTACCTCTAAGAATATTGAGATATTCTGAATTTTTATTTATGTTTACAAACGTTGCGATTTCGAAACGTTTAGATAAAGAAGTTTTACGTATCTCTGATTAAGGTTAATTGATATAGATAATGAAGTCTTTAGAATATCAAGCCTGGTATACTTTTCTTAGACAATGAAAAGAGAGTAGTCTTACATAATCCTTACAACACTGAAGTCTGAAGGTACATCCGGAAGAGTAAGATGATTTGTACAGTTGCGTATCGCTAAAAAAGGCTACAAACATAAATTAAATCACTCTGAATTAAAATCAAGTTTACGAGGATATTAAAAAATTGTAACGTCCTCAAAATTAAAGTAATGAAATTCCAAAAAAATTATGGTGTCCCAGAAATTACCAATTATTAGAACATACAACCTCTTACTCTCCGGATGTTATTCATTTCGTCCATGTTCACAACCGATGAATAAAAGCACCTGTCTGTACCTAACAGTGCTGCAACTGAGATATTCGTCAGATTACACTCTCTTTTCCCAGTTCATATGCAGGCCTATGTAAAATAAATTTAAAAAAATAATTTCACTCTCAGATTTAAATAGATATAGTATTTTTACTTTTGTCCTGCACATGATTTTTATAGTGAACTGATTCAAAATGAATGTACGTAAACCCCCCTCAACCCTTAAAATATTACGCCTATTGATATATGTTTTAAATGCACATATAAAACATATACATTATTTACTTTCCATTTAGGTTATGTTGACAAAGCCAACAGCGAATGATTTGTAACTGTTGTCCATTGCACGCATACATGGTAACTGATGTGTTAAACGTAATCATGTCATATATCTCAAATGACACCAATCGTAAAAGAAATTTGGAAAATTTCATTTCAAACTGTCTAAATTCACAAATTAATTTAATATGAAAATTTCTTTCTTTCTTCTGTATTTTAGTTGGATTTTAAAAAATTAGGAAGAAATTACAAAACTAAATATGATGGCATGTACGAGTACGTCTCGCAAATAACCAATGTGCTCTTAAAAGTTATCTCTAATTACCATAGCGCTCCAGACAAATTGAATAACCGCCACTGATATCAGTATACCAACTTATAGCAAAAACCCTTGCACTTTGAGAGATCACAACTTAAAGCTAATGGATTTTACTAATTTGTAATGGTCATGAGGGTGAATCAGAAATGATCGAAAATTCACCGCCAAGTCCTACGGGCACATGAACCAAATGGAAGCTCATTTGAATCTCAAATCACCAAATTTGCAATTCTAATTAACTTATCTTTCCTTTTTCCGTCCTGCTTCAACACTTGAATCTACACTTCACGGGCATGTGACAAGGAGCTGTGGTTCAAATGAGCCCTCTTTACAAGTCCAGAACCAAGTAGCGTATTATAGCTGAAACAGTTCTGTTGGAAAACACGAAGGTTACGCAGTGAAGGAAATACTAATCTACCTCAAACGTGATATTTATATAACTAAAAGAAATCATGGACATAATAATATTAATCTTTTCTCACTCGCTCGTACATTAACTTTAACGAATAAGAAACTATTTTATAAATGGCGGATGAGTTTTGTTCAAAGTTCTCATTCTGAAAGTTCAAAGACTGCAAACATATGTTGAAGGTAAGAAGAAGATCAAATAGATTACCTGGGTCATACAAATTAAGTATTTACGAAATTTCATACCAAATAATTATGATTCATAGAAAGGATCAACTGAAAAATGTTTAAGATCCAACAGAGAACATTTTTTTTTTCGACAAAGTCATGACATTTTAGTATAAATGGACATAATGCGTTGAAGAACAAAGGCAAATTAAATATTCCCCTGTCTAAGTATTGTGGGATTACTTTGTTAAGAGTAATGTTAGTAATAACAGCGTATGATCTGAATCGTTCACGGCGACTGACATAAATAAAATCTTCTGGGGTCTATCAGCCGTGTCAGCCGGTTAAAATTCATAGACGGTACAGGGACCAGCTCCGTCCTTGGAACGTCGATAGACCTATATCGCAATAGTAGGTGCGGGGACTACACTTCAGCGATCCCCTGCGATGAAGCAGCAGACGCTACATATAGCTTAAGTAGAACTAAATTCCCAAATAAACATTGGGGACAAAGTGATGAACTGATGTTTTCCTGATTAAACAGTTTGTTCAAACCCTCCACTACGGAGTAAACACGGTAGATGGATGAGCAGAGTAGGAGTTAGACTCCAACATAACAGCACATTTGAACAATATTTATCACTATCAGATCTAACAAATTGAGGTTAGCAATCAAGAAATCACAAGTTTTCGAGAAGTTGACGGTAATATTCATTCAGTTTTCGGTGTGCATTTTCACCTTGAATTTGGGAATGGAATATGGAGGTATTTCTCTAAGGACACTAGGACGGGATCTACAAATCTACAACAGGCACGCCATAATCATTGGCGTGAGTTCTCCTCATCCTTTAAGACAATTGAAACGGACAAGCTGTCCGTACTAATTCTACTACAACTATCTTTGAAATATAGGCAAAAAAAGATAACTTAAATCCGAACGGTATCAAAACACAGAAGACCACAATTGACATCTTTACTGCTGTAAGAAGCTGAAATAGCAAATAGTTACAGTTCCTATAAAATGCTGAATAAACATTCATACTTGTTTCTCCGTGATCTATCCTTTAGAAATGTACATAAAAATATCACCCGGTTACTTACGACCGATAGCTAAACATGGCTAACTTCATAGATCAGATTCTGTCTTAAAAGGATGAGAATCGCTCATTTACAAACTGCCCAGTCTTTTATGAAGCCAGAAGGTTCACTTACTTGTCCACAAAAGCCCATCACTCGACTCCATGCTGACGACGATAAACCTAATCCACACCCGCAGACCGTATTTATGCGTGACAGTTAAGGTCCTCAGGCCGCTGAAGATTTTGTTCTTGGTCTTCTGGGTTGTAACGCCGTATGGACATGCAGGTAGATACTTCAAACCTGAAGGTGGAGACAGAACAAATGTATTATTAAAATTAGGTTTAATGCTATCCTATGATTTAAGTCTATATCCAAATATCGAATATACAATATCCGACATATCATAATTTTCTATGTTTTATTATCATAAAGAATTTGTGACCTGCACAAATCCCTAAACCATTTGTTAGTTAATACCAAATTAGTCGCTTAGTATAAGCCTCCCACTTTCAACTTATATTTCTGTGCACTTCATATTCAACCACTTGTTCTTACATCGGAGTAAGAGATTATGTTATTCAAAACAACTGGTGCAATGGTTCATTTTCGTGTTTTTTTTAATTTTTTTTTTCTTGTCAATATTTTGGAATGTACATGGGGTGATTCAGTTTTTCGTCCAAATAATAACATACATTTCAAAGATTTATTAGCCTCGTACGTACATAACCTCAGCATAGTTATGAAAGTTTCCTGATACATCGTGACACAGACAACCTATTCGCCAAAACACTGTAAAGGATGTGGATTTTTATGTACAACTAGCTTCGACATAGCTTACCAAACTTTGAAGTTTAAATTAATGGTTGAACTTTTTTAAAACTTTGACAGATGGAGAATTACTGAGGTTTGGACTTGGTTCATACTTCTATAGAATTTCTTTCTGAGTACTGGTCTTGTTGCTACAAAAAAAAGTAACTTACACATAAAGCAGTGAAAACGTTTTGCTGTTTCACTGGCTGAATTCTGGAAACGCAATAAATTATCTACAGCATTGCGTATGTCTTTATTGGCTTTCCTTTCATCAGAAATTGCCTGTCAAATACAATAAATCTGTCTATGCACAAGCCATTCACTGATTAATACACATGTACGGCAAAAGTTTATTTATCTACGGTAACCCAACATAAATGATTAACGTTCAAAGTAATATAGTTAACGGGGGGAAAAGTTCTATTGAATTCCTGCGTCATATAATGGGCACTTCATTTTCATAAATCTAATTTTATTGCACAATATATAAAGAGCAATTAAAATAATATACAATGGCCGTCAGATACACCACGCTGTTTGTCACTCATATTAATTTGTACATTATGAAGTAAACAAACACGGTTTAATTAAACACCGGAGTTAGTCAATCAAGGTACCCTAAATATTTTGAGGGATTGTTTTTTATGTTAAACCCTGAATCTTAAATCTATGAATATATTTTTATGCTACCGAATCCATTCGTTTACTTCGACGACTCGGAGATTTCTGCCCACTAACGAGATAAATGTATGAAATGTAATCGGATAACATTCTAAATAATTCAAGTATTCATTATTTTATTATCGTATTTACGAAACTTATGCACTTGACAAAATTATATTTATAACAAATTTGTATGTTGTTTCATTCAGCTGCAATCAGCAAGCAGTACTTGTTCATAATACTTATTTTCCCAACACTAGAAAATTACTTCTAATTGTATGCAACGTAGTAATATTGGCTTTCTATCAGTTAACACATTCGCTCGCTACGGCACTGTGACTTTGTCAAGGATTTTAGTTTTCTGGCTGATGTTAACAGTTAGTTATATATATAACTTTACTTGCAGTTGTTTTTTTGTTGTTTTTTCTCGTAAAGAAGTTCGTTGCATTACTTACGCAATTATTTCCTCATGCCGATTACAGTTACCAAGTTATATAACCGTATTAAGCTGAAATCCTAGTAAATGTATCGTTATTTTTACCAGATCAGTTGCCTTAATTAATTATTAATTTGTTTATAGACACACACCTTGTAATTCCTCATAACGTCTAACTGCAATTGACTATCAGAAATAAACAACTTAAATTTTATTTCACTTATGTAAAGAATACGTAACTCGTACTGAACATACGCGTTTCTGCCTATAGCACATCATCATCATTGTCCTACTTTAACGCACACATCTGTCACCAGACCACTGTTGTTGACCATTTTATTAACGTCTTAATATATGACATTTTCGCAATCACAGTCTTTCTGTCTATTTACACATTAAATCCCTTTTTTTTCGTAAATAATTTAAAAGCAAAACTATTTTTAAACCAGGGTGAATTAGATATCTTTGGCACAGGGTGTATTTAAGGTAAATAAATTTTCGAGTTTTGGCTCTATTTATATATTTATGGTCGATTATCATTATTCTGACAGATTTCTTAGAGTACTGCCCAAATATTCATCGAGTTCCTCGTTCAGTCTCAAACGTCTGTACTAATATTAACAATAAATTCAATAACAAATATCTGTATAATAACAGCCATTCACCTGAAAACGAGAGAAGAATGAAATTTATAAACTCTGTGCACATGAAAAACACATCATAAAATGGAAAATAATGTCAGCTTAACTACAGTCCTTATTTAGAACCTAAGCATCCTGCTCTTACTGTCATGTGGCAAACCCTGTGCTCAGAGTCATGCCTGTCACCCCAGGGAAATGAATGGAGCAGGTGACTATGTTAATCAATGGCTCACTTCGTGCTCATTTCACTATAAAATCAATTATCTGCCATTCACACTGTCGTGACTACACCCAGGGCAGTTCTCTAGACCACAAGAGAGGGCACTGTTCTAATGTTCTGTCCCGGACGTAAACAAAGCAAAAGGCGAGCAATGCTCAAAGCAAGGGGGAGGGGTTTCAAAAGGTTCTGACTGGAATACAGGTCCACGGTTTGCCAGATTTAACGTCAACGTATTAAGGCACAAATGTCCAATAGGAACAGCACTAAAAACTACAAATAATATTTACAGTGAAATGAGGAGAATAAATAAATTCTGAAAACTTATATTATTCTTCATTTAAAGAACTGATATAAATTCGCCCGCACTCCTAAACGCTTAAGACCAAAATAAATGAAACATTTTAACAAAAGTCCCTATGTATAAGTGAAAAACTAAGTATCTTACTTCGTGGTAAGAACACAAATTACAAGTGTTTTAAAACAAAGTGTTCAGGACAAGTTGTGGAATGATAATACTAGGAAAATTTAATGCAAAACGAGAAATTTACTAATTTATACAGGTTTCGTGTTATCGTTAGGTTAGTAAAATTTAGGAAGCTGCTATTGGCTGGGCTTCCGTCTGTGATAAAAAATGAAGTCTTATAGTAGAGGTAAGGGTCCACACGCACTTACCGTCGGCTCTAGATGCAGTAAGTGATCGGAGTCATTTTACTCCGGCACTAACAGCACGGTAAGTCCGTAAAGGGGAAGATAAAAATCCTGCCCCTGTCTGATATTAAACCTTTATCATACAGATCATAGAAAATAGTTTTACTTACGAGGTATAAGGATGTTGTAACATTTTGGAAAGTTCTTGTTGGACTGAACAAAATATATCTTATCTTACTTTCGCCCACAATGCTGCATAAATTTTCTCACTGCCGTACTGTACAGCATCTCATTTCTCAAGCTTATGTTGTGTGGTTCTGACAAAGAATTTTACACCGTTTAGTGATATCTGCTTAGAGGAGAGATGTTTTAAAATCACTAACATAAATCAAATGATATAAAATTATAAGATTATCAAATGGGTCATTCAATGTTATCTTCATTATTATATGCATAAACAATATGTAATATGTCACCATATAGACCATGTTTAAAACAGTTAATATATTTTGTGGTTTTTACGTTTATATGTAATATATGTCATACGGTGTTTCATCTTTCTAAAGTTTTTTTCTCCGTTTCGAGTCTTTACGACACAGCAGAGACAGCGATTCAGTCCCATTTACACTCTGATCAGGAAATCGCATGGGATCAACACCACTAGAAGCGATCCTCTCTTATCATCATAATGTACAGTTTTTGGACGTCAAGGATGTTTTCGGACGCCATTTCAATGACATATCGATATTCTCTTATCGAGATTTTCTGTTGCCGTAATACTCCGGACTTTTACTCAGGAATTCCTCAGATTTTCGGATGAGTTACCGAATTTTTTTAGATTTATTGTGTCTTGTTATTTAGAAGCGGACTGCGAAATAGCGTTTATAAGTATGTCAATTCCTCTTTCTTCCAAATTATTATCTCTTCCACAATAAAAAACTATTTTTTCATCTCATTCGACGTTATATACATTCGAACCGGGTATATTACGAATGCAAATATGAAGCGTTGCCTTAAAGCCAGTCTGCCCGAAACGACGGAATCACCTAAGTCTTGAATATCTCGGAAGACATTAAGTTTTCTGCCTGAATTAGTGATTTGAAGGAAGGCAAATGTAAACATTTTAAAATTCCTGATGCAAAACAACAGATCCACAGCCTATACTGTACTGTGGTCTGTCCCCACTCTCCCATTGTAGCAGGCGTATTGATTTGCGAACGTAAACCGTCCCAGAAACGAATTAACCACAGTGACTGAACAGAAAAACCTTCATGACATACAGAAACATTAAAAAAACTAAAACATTCATAGAAAAGGAAATTAATATTTAGAATTCCTGCATTAATATTATATGACAAATCACCTGATCTAACTGCGATATTTCGTTGTGAGAAATGGTCAAAGAACGCGTATGTTTAATTAAAACTTAGGATGTCAATAATGTTGAATAAATAACCATGGCTATCTGAAAAATTCCACAGTTGATACGTGCACGGCAGCATATCGAAATATTGAAATGCATTCACACTTATGAACAAGAATGGGGAATGATGGAAGAATACAAAGTAAAATTTCATAGTAAATATTTACATTAATTATACATTCATGCCCGAAGCAAGTGTTCATATTTTAATGTAGGCAGAACGAGGTAATTCGCGGTTTATACAGACAACTTCTACTGTGAAATGTACGATGCTACGATACATATGCTTATGGCAATAAGTTCGCATGGGTAGATAGCAAATATAAACGGAATTTTTTAAAACAATAATTTGTGAAACGGCCAGTCGCATGACAGAAAACGAGGTGAAAAGAGTGGATTAAAATGGATCGCAGGTATGGAACGGGAATGAAGCATACTAAGGATCGTATCTGAGAGATG